TTATTATTCGAATTGTATGCTAGGTGGTGCGGCATTTGATTCTCGCGGGGCATGATGTGCACGTCGTCACTGGTGCTCCTGATTTTGTTTTCACCACTGAAATACAGTCTCCTCGCTTGTTCATTCGCAAAGTGAGTTTGAATTTTTTGCTTATTTATCTATTTCTTTTATCTTTAAAGTCTCTTTATAATGCTATCCGAAAGACAGTGTTCATAATCTAGTTAATAATTAATATGATTGTTAAGGAAGAAGTAATGTCTAAACGCATATGTGTAACCTGTGGATCGTAGTCTATCCTTGTTGCTTTTGGAAGCTTCATGATTTTGATGAAAAAGGGGGAGTTCTGTGCTGTTAAAAAAATGTTGTTTAAGGGTTGTTAATGTTCTTCGGTGGAGTTTCTTTTAGTGTCATGTTGATCCCAATTGCAATAGATAGCAACCCGGATCAGATCGAACTGTTTGTGAGAATTTTCAATTTGTGTACATGTACAATGCTTTAAAGAGGTTGCTTATAAAGTTCATGTTTGTTTATCCATATGTGTAAAATAGGTGCTTTTGGACTGTGGAGCTGTTCAGGCAGATGCGTTGACCGTTGATCGCCTTGCCTCTTTGGCTAAGGTATGGCAATGCCATTGCCTTTGGATTGTTTATAGATGTTGAGTTTTGAGGTAGATGCCTTAATATTGTTTCTTTCTGTTGCTTATCCCTTGCTTGTTTGTGGTTATGTTAGTATTCTGAAACAGCAGTGAAGCCCCGTGCAAAAATCTTGGCTCAAGAATCTGAATGGTTGAACTCTATTAAAGCTGACTTAGTGGTACAATACATCTTCTTCCCCTTTTTATTGGAAACAAAAGTGAAAGGGAAACTGATAACTAATTCATAATGCTTATAATAACTTCTAACACATTAGTTTGGACTTCTGAAAAAGGTAGTTATAAGGATGGTTAAAAAATTGATTGTTTGATAAAGATTTTATGTAACAGAAGTAATTTTGCATTTGATTATAATTATGAAAAAGTAGTTTGTTTGGGTTTGTCCCCTTTTTCTGGAAAAATTACTTACCATCTCTAAGAAAAATTAGGTATAGGACTTGTAAATTTTAAATTCAGCAAGATTTTTTTGTCTGGAAAACAGTCTCCCTTTCTTTCTCACAACTGTTTCTCTTGTTTATCACCATTTTCATTTTTTTTCCTTCCAGAAATACAGTCCTATCTTCTATAGAAAAAAATCTAAGATCTGATTATTTTCAGATTCTGAATTTTTGGCCCAAAAGCTTATCCAAAAAACTTTAAATATTTTACAACTGTTTTTGAAAAGAACATGAATTTTTCCTCCTCAAAAATAAAATTTGTATATTGTATACTTGGTGGATCCTTGTAAAGCTAACACGAGAAAACAGGTCTCGGATGTTGTCCCAGTTGCATGTCGAGCAGCAGCGGATGCAGGCATTCGCGTCTCGTTTGTGTGACTAATTTCAAGGTATCTATGCCACACTCCACTTATCCTTTAAATTCTTTGTCTTTGTTTCTACATAATGGTTGAGGGAAAGGAAAAAAGACCCTTATATGTAGAAGCACAGGAGTTGTTGTGCCTATGATTTCAGAAAAAAGTTAGCTGACAAATAGTATTTTCATGAATTTGACGTAGCCTTTTCAATATCAGTCTTAGGGGTTT